AATAGGGGGCAGCCATTAAAAGAAACCTGATCGCTATTCATCAACTCGGAAGAGGGGAAAGGAGGAGGAAGAAAAAAAAAGAAAAAGAAAAAGAAAAAAAAAAGACCTTCGTGGCTTGAGCTCATACCAGCCTGGTATACCTCTGATCAAGAGGATCCCGGGAAACACAAAGTTTACAAATATTGTCAAAGTGATGCTTGTAGCGTGATTTCAGTTGTCAATCCCGCAGAAGCCCACCAGAACTTTGGATGCAGTGCCCTGCATTTCTGGCTAGTTAGTGCCAATCCCCTGAGGCGGAAGGCTCTCTCTCCTTATTTTAACCATATGTGCCTGCTGCTGTTGTTGTCTTGTCTGCGAGCTGCGCGCTGTCTTTGCTGAGGGTCCCCCCGTGCCGAGGAGCATCCGAGGCTCTGCGGGGACCAAGGAACACGGGGCCACGTCCCCTGTCTCCGGGCCGCCCCCAAGCGGTGTCCCTTCTCCGCGGGACCCGAGCTGTGAGACGGGGATCCCTAAATACGCATTGGCACTGTGGGTCAGGGTGCTGCTGGTAGGACTAAGTGAAAATCCTGAGCCCCGCACCCAAGATTTAGACGGGCTAATGTGAAGGTAATGAGGAAGGGCCGCATTAACGGAGGCAATGGGAAGGTTGCGCTGCTCGGTTGGGAAGCAGGGCCGTGTCTGGGCCCCCCGCCCGCAGCACCCCGCCGCCTCCGGAGCTTTATTTCAAGTGGGTTTGATGGCATAACTGAGTGCCCCGCTGCAGATCTAGAATCCTCGGCGGATCGCCCCGAGGAACAGTGCGCTCAGGCAGCTTTCAGTGAGCCCTTTCGCCCCAAATCACAGAACAACAAGCTATTGTTATTCATCTTAATTGAGTTATTCGCGGTGATCCTTCGCCGTGTTTTCATATTCCGTCGGGACGGAATCTCAGTCTGTCTCCGGCCATCTGTGATGGGACAGACTCCGGTTTGTTTCGAAACAAAAAGCTGAAGTAAATATGTAACGTGAATAAATAATTCGGGAGAGAGAACCCGAGGCTCCAGGCTGAGAAATGACTCCTTGCTCCACGCTGTGCCATGGCCGTGGGTCAGAGCACGACTGGGGCAGACGAGGGTGGGCTGAGGGGTGCTCGGGGGGAACACGCAGGCCCAGGGTGCTGCTGCTAACGTTGTGATCCATGGAAAAGCGAGAAGAAGAAGCAGGCTCTCACCCAAGTTAGAGCACCCTGGTTTAGAAGGGAATACACGTTGTGTCCGGAAAGGAAAGGAAAGGAAAGGAAAGGAAAGGAAAGGAAAGGAAAGGAAAGGAAAGGAAAGGAAAGGAAAGGAAAGGAAAACGCGAACTTGGAGCACTTGCTTGCTCTCCCTACAGTCCTCACCACGGTAGCGGACGTGTGTGAGGAAGATGCGCTTTGTCCTGGTTATAGGAACACCTCGGGGTTCAGCATTTTACTCTCTACCAACCCCGAGAGCCCCTCTGCGCCCTTCGCCTCAGGTGGCTGTGGGAAGGGACGCAGGAGGGATGTGGCAGTCCGGGCAAACGTGCATCATCTGCCAAGGACACGGTGCAGACATGCGGCCTGCGGGTGGCTGCGGACTGTGGGGAGGCACAGCTGGGAGGGAGACTGTCACATAACTTCGGCGTTGTATTGACTCTCACGTACGGACACAAACCGGTTACGTGCAGCGAGAGGCTCCTGGAAGCGACATGCTTGAGCGTCCCTCCCTCCCTCCCCTCAGCTCTCCCGCGCCCTGCTCAATAAAAGGAGCATTACGAGAAAAACGGCTTTTTGGTTTATTTTACTTAGATTTCACAAGGACTCGCGCTGACACCGCCTATCCTGCACGCTCTGGCGAAGACACACTCGGGCAGGGAGCGTGGCCGGGGCCGGGTATGGGGACGGGAACGGGCCTGGGACGACGCTGGGGCTCCTTTGCCAAGCGCGAGCTTCGCTCAGCCAGGGGAGATCCTTTGACTGCTGCTGCACGGGGAGAGCCGATGGCGACCCGGCAGAAAATTCCCTCGGGGTGAGGACCCGGTTAGCAGGCGGCTCGGGCCACTCACTCCGGGGTATGATTGAGGTGAAAGAGCCCTTTCGCCCACATCAAAAAGCTCCTCGCCCGGTCGTTTCGTTCCTTCGCAAGGCTCTACAACCGGCCTCGCCCCGCGCCGTGGCTTTGCAGTCGGGATCTGCACCCTTTCCTAAGACGTTCAGGAAGATTTTTTCCTTCTCGAAAGTTAAAAGAGATTCCACAACATTCGGGGCCAGATGTCACCAATTTGCCACCGCTCTGCTGCGCGGCGTGGGGAAGGGGCTGCCCTGCCCTACCCGGCCTGCGGGACGTGCGGGAGCGATGCCGGAGGCGCAGCCCGAAACTGCAACGCCTGCAAAGGGGTTGGTGTAGGGTCCGTACTCACGTGTGGGAAGCAGAGAAGAGACTTCCTCAGCTCTAGATCCGTGCAACAGGTTTTGCCATCTCCTTTCTAGCTAGGGTGAACAGCTGCTCCCGTTGAGATTCAAGTACTGTGGTTATGGAATGGAAGGAGAGGAAGCGGAGTCAGGTATACCCCCTATAAACGCGCAGCGACAGAGCACGGCGGCAGCGGGGGGGCAGCCCGGGCCCCTCTTTTGTCTTTGCCACGGTCCCGGTTGCGGGACAGAGCGGGACGGCGTCGCGTTTTCCTTCCCGAATTGCTCCTAATGGGAGCGCAAGGGTCGGGCTAGGAGCTCCCCTCGCAGTGCGTGCTCGGAGGAGCGCTCCGAGAGAATCGATTCTCCCGCCCCGCCAGCGCCTCTGCGGCCGCAGCTGCGAGCAATTCTATGCCGGGTAGGGAGTGCGGAGATCAGGTCGCGTTCACTTACGAACGAGCACATTTTAAGCCCTGCTGAAGTCGGCCGGCGCTGAGACCCGGACCGCTTTTTCTCTATGGGGTGCGGAGGGAGACCCGTGAGAGAGGGCAATACTGAGCCGCCACTGACACTCCCGAATTCGTTTGAAACGAATTTGCACTGCGTCTCCCCCATGCCCTGCAGAGGCGGCCTCCCTCAGCTCCGCGTCCCGGGCCGAGCCTTACACAGTTTTGCACAGCAACCCCCGGGAGCGTCTCGGGCAGGTAGGAGGGCGTGCGGCTTCCAAAGCGGAGCTCACCCAAGCGAACCCAGCCACACAGCGTCCCGGATGCGGTGGGGCTGGAGGATTCCGACTCGCTCCCCCACCCCTCACCTCCTGTCTCCCCCCCGCCGCCCTTCACACTGGGGCGGCTCCGGGCCGGCAGCCGCCAGGAGTGTCCGGGCCGCGCCGCCGCCGCCCGCCCTCGTCTCCCCGGGGGAGCAGCTGTGCCCGGCCCGGCTTCTGCCGCGGGGGTTCGACTGCGGGGATGGGAGCCCGCTGCCTGCTGCCTCGTCAGCCCCTAGAGCTCTGGGGTGCAGCCGGGCGGTGTCAAAAAGATTTCGTGTCGGGAACCCACAGCTGCAGACAGCTCTCCAGTTGGTGTTGTAAATGGCGTAGAGCTTGGTTTCGTTATTCTTATCGTTCTTTCCCCACAATTGAAGCATTAAGGAGCGTGAGAAGCGTCCTACTTTTGGGGTCGAGGGGTTCCTTTCGAGTGCGCGAAGCTGGGACTTCCAGTTACCGTCCGACCGAGAGGTCCACAGACACCTCGGGGACCCTTGCTTGGCCGCTCCACTCCCGTTCGGCCCGCACAAGCTCATCCGCGTTCGCTGCGTGCCCCGAGAGCGACTGGAAGAGGCAAAAGTTTTCCCCTCCCTGCGCAGGCACTGAACTAAAATTGCCGTGCGTGGGGCATGCGTGGACGATGGGAAACAGCTCCGCTACGGGAAGAACTTCTAACTTTTCCCCGTGCCCCTGGGTGAAAATATCCCGGCACGCTGCTAAAAACGAAGCAGAAATAAAAGCTCGGCGGCCGAAAAGGCTCACCTAGCGGGGCTGCAGTCATCTAGGCTGTGCTCGGCCACGGCCATGCCTGACCGGGGCCCAGCGAGCAGGTAGTGCCGGCCTGTGACGGTACTCCGGTGGTGAACAGGGTCCCTATTGTACCCTAGAGGTCCCTTCCCCGTAAAGCCCATTGCGACAGTTGTCGCTGCGCGTCTGAAAGGGTGTTAAGTGCATTTAGAAAGAAACTTTCAGATGGGCCCGCCCGGCTGTTCCTCCCCAGCGCAGCCGCAGGGGCCGAACAGAGCCCGGGCTGCGGAGCCCCGACGGCGGCTCAGCGCTCCCCACTGCCCGCTCCCGACGGGCGCCCGCAGCGCCAATCCCGGCGGCAGTTTCTTCCTCGCCAGCCAATATCTCAGCTCGCGGGGCCGCCTCGGAGTGGATCTGAGCAATCTGTCAACCCAGCCGGGGAGCCACCTCAAAACAGATCGGGTTACCCCTGATTGACAGCGTCACCATGGCAAATAATTTGACTAAAACTATTGTCTTCTCCTGGCAGTCCTCGGGTCAGATAACCGGACCAATCACAGCGCGGATAATCACTTTTCATGCCAGCTTAGAATAATATTATTAAAAAAAAAAGGGGGGGGAAGAGAGAGAGAGAGAGAGAGAAAGAAAGGGGGGAAAACTCCGAGAGGGAGAGGAGAGAGGGAGCGGGACTTTACCGCTATATTATGTGGGATCTTTCGGCGGAGGGGGGTGGGGGGGAAGCAGGGAGATCCCAAACCGGCGGCCGAGGGGGGTGGGGGTGGGAGAGCCGCGGCCGCTACGAGCGCTGCAGATAGGAGACAAAAGAGGCACAAAGTTACTCTCGCAACTCGGACTTACAAAAAGGAGGCGGCCGGGGAAAAGCCTTCCGCGTTCGGGCTCCGCGACTCCGGCACCGCTCCTCAGCAGCTCCCCGCGCCCCGCTCCGGGGCCGGGCCCCGCCGATGGCCGCGGTCCCCCGCGCCGGACCGTGAGTCCCGCCGGGCCCCGCCGGGCGCCACTGCCCCGGGGCCGGCCCCGCATGCCGGCTGCTGCCCGCCGCCCCACCGAGCGGCCGTAGGGTGCGCGGCGGGGCAGGGCTCACAATGTCGATGCTCCCGACTTTTGGCTTCACCCAAGAGCAAGTGGCTTGCGTCTGCGAGGTGCTCCAGCAAGGCGGCAACATCGAGCGGCTGGGGCGGTTCCTCTGGTCCCTCCCTGCGTGCGAGCACCTCCACAAAAACGAGAGCGTCCTGAAGGCCAAGGCCGTGGTGGCCTTCCATCGGGGCAACTTCCGAGAGCTCTACAAGATCCTGGAGAGCCACCAGTTCTCGGCGCACAACCACCCCAAGCTGCAGCAGCTCTGGCTCAAGGCGCACTACATCGAGGCGGAGAAGCTGCGGGGGCGACCCCTAGGGGCGGTGGGCAAGTACCGGGTGCGCCGCAAGTTCCCGCTGCCCCGCTCCATCTGGGACGGCGAGGAGACCAGCTACTGCTTCAAGGAGAAGAGCCGCAGCGTCCTCCGCGAGTGGTACGCGCACAATCCCTACCCGTCCCCCCGTGAGAAGCGGGAGCTGGCCGAGGCCACCGGCCTCACCACCACGCAGGTCAGCAACTGGTTCAAGAACCGCCGGCAGCGGGACCGAGCGGCCGAGGCCAAGGAAAGGTACGGCTCACCCCGCGCCCGCGTTCCCCGTCCCGGGGATGCCGCCCCGCGCTGCGAGGGCCGCCCAAGAGGCGTAGCGGTGTCGGCGGGGCCCGCGCGGCTTCCCCCATCCCGGCTGCGCTTTCGCCGGGACGGCCTCGACGAGGCCCGGCCAGGAGGCGAGAGCTCCGGGAGTAGCGCCGTGCGGCAGCCGTCGGAGCGCGTCCCTGTGGGCGGCCCGGGGTTACGGGACGGCGGAGCCGAGCGGCTCCGAAGCCCGAAGGAAAAGGGGCGGCCCGCAGATTGCTGCCGGCTCCCTGCGCGAGGCAGAGGCCGAAGGGAGCGATCTCTTTCCGTGCTCGTTACGTTGTAGTTTGTATTCGCTTCCCGGCGAGGTGCTCATGGATTCGTACTTAGATATAGATATAACTGTAACGATCGTAGTTCGGACGCTGTGATTTTCCCGTTAAATGTATCGGGGGGATCATCCGCTGCCGGGGGGAGGTTAATGCCTATGTACTCGGGTATTCGGGATTTCCCCAGCCGTTCCCGTGCCCCGGGACGGCGGCTCTAGGGGGAGAACAAAACGTCTCCTGACTGTGCTGTGCCCCCTCTCAGCTCACCCGCACGGTCTGACCGCGCGATGGTGGACGGCTCAGAAGTCGCCCGTGGGTCCGGGCCTCGGGGACCTCTTTCCACGCGTCCACCCAACGCCGCTCGGGAATGGCTGCGCCGGGCTGCTCCGTGCGTCTCCACAGACAGCGCCGGGGCTTTAATTTTCTCCCACATCCCCGTAAGCGTTGGTTTTACAACATGTCAGAGATCCCATTTATTGCTGACAGCAGGGACTCACCTTCGAATATCCAAAGGAAAAAAGGAAATGAAGATTACACTTAGTCCATTCCTTTGTTTTTGTTTTTGTTTTTTTCTTTTTCTTTTTTCTTTTTTCTTTTTTTCCAAAGGAATCAAGTTTTAAAAGTCTCCAGAGACAAATAAGAATTTTTGACATTGAAAAATACGCTCCACCTAATATTACCCTCCGGGCGCTGGGAAAAATGGGATTGCCATTCACTCGAGCGACTTGTTCGAACAGAGTTCTCTTTTCTATTTTTATTTTTCTGGCATAAAGTGTCTCAGCCCCATCCCGCGGCCCTCAACGAACAGCCAATGCCGGTGCGATGCTCCCGAGGAAACCCTCCGGGCTCGGGCCCTCCGCACGCAGCGCGTTGTTGCTCCCACAGAGGCTCCTAAATACTCTAGAAATGCCTTTAGGATTTCAGGCAGAGCTGTGTCTGCAGGGACTACGTCTGAAAGTTGTGTTAGACTTGACAGGACGGTCACTTCCACCCCCATCTTACCCCTCTTATTTCGGGGAAGAAAAAAAAAATAGAAAAACATATTTCTAAGGGGCTTGGCAAGCCTCCAGCCGTTTCTCGGTGTTTTCCCGGGTGCTAAATCCAGACACAGCCCGCGCCCCACGAACGGCAGCCTCAGGTAGGCGGCCCCCGGATCGGCTCCCCCAGCCCGCAGCGGGGCCCCGCGCTGAGCCCTCTGACGCTGGGAGCGGCCGCCTCGGGGGGGACGGGAGAGCTCGGAGAGAGGCGAGAGAGCTGTGGGCTCTGCCTGAGCTTCCTTATTGGGCGATGTTTTGAGGTTTAAGCTTAGAACGAGGGGGGGAAATGTCCGCTTACTTCAGCAAAAGGAAGGATTTAACGCGGAACACCACTCGGCCTTCCCGCGGGAAGCCGCAGCCGAGTTCCAGTTCAGCTCGGAGAGCAGTTGTAAAGTCAAACTGCCCTTTTTTTTTTTTCTTTGCCTTCTTCTTCCCCTCCCTTTCTTCCCCACTTGCTCCCTCCCCGCGCCGTGTATCTCTTTGCGATGGACGGGCGCAGAAAATATCATTCGGGCTCAGTACCACTCCGCAGGGCGAGCGGCAGCCCCGAGCGACACGCCCGAAGGCCCTCAGACCTTTGCGACGGATGCTGAGGCCCCGAAGGTCCGCAGTTTGTAAACGCGGCGCTCCGCACCTCCCGGCCGCCTCCCCGGTCCCGCTCCCGCGGTGCCACCCGGTGACTTCCCTCCCTTTTGTGTTTCCTCTAGGGAAAACAACGAGAATTCCAACTCCAACAGCCACAACCCGCTCTCGGCGTCAATGAACGGGAATAAGACAGTTTTGGGGAGCTCGGAGGACGAGAAGACGCCGTCAGGGACCCCGGACCACACCTCCTCCAGCCCCGCGTTGCTGCTCGGCTCCAACCCGGGGCTGCAGCCCCTGCACGGCCTGGGCCACCCGCAGGGCCCCAGCGCCATCCCCGTGCCCAGCGCCGACCCCATGCACCACCACAGCTTGCAGGACTCCATCCTCAACCCCATGTCATCCAACCTGGTCGATCTGGGCTCTTAAAACCGCGTACACGCTCCCTCCTTCGCACCTCCTTTACTCTCTCTTTTTCTCTCTCGATTTTTTTTTTTTTTTTTTTTCCTCCTTTATTTTTCCCTCTTAATCTTACCAGAGACTGTAAGCGATGACAAAACCCTCAGCGGCAGAGCCGTGCCGCGCCCCCCGGCTGCTGTCCGGGCCCCGTGGGCAATAGCACTGTGAGAAGCCCCGGGGAGAGCTCGGAGCGGTGGGACAGGGCCGGGGCTGCCCCTCCGGGCCGCACCGCAGCTCCTCACGACTTTCTCGGTTCAGTCACCTACCGGCGCGCTCCGTGCGCGTTAGAGGAACGCGGTGGTTTTGGGGGGGAGGGGGGCTGGGAAGGAATCCCGGTTGGAATCCCGCATCGCTCCCGTTATCCTATTGTAGCTATGTATCCGCGGCAGGTGTACGATGTACAATCGCAACTAAGAATACAAAAGTTGTAGTCAAGTTATAGCAGCAACACGCACTAGGCAGACTCTGTAACCTTCTTGTAGCTGACGCTATGCAAAGAGGCGGCTGCTTCAGCCTCAGCCGTGTGGTGCTTTCGCCATTTGCAGGGTGGGAAGGAGGGGAGGCCCGGCCCGGTTCGGGCAGGGAAGAAGGATTGCTGCTCAAGTTTAGACCTAACCGACAGTATCAACCGCAAGTCACTCGACCTTAGTTTTGTTTATTGTTTATATTATGTGAATACATTCTTTGGAAGATATTTCTGCTTTTATTTTATAATAAAATTTAGAAATTTAACCAGACGTGCGGCTGCTTCACTCGCCCGAGGGATGCTCCGGCCTCAGCCGACCTGTGGGGCACGCCCTCGTCGCCCCGCCGCGACGGCACGGACGCACGGACCGGGAACATCGGGGCCGCTCCGTCCTTCGGTCCGTCCCGTGGCGGTGACGCAGTGCGAACTGTGGGAGAGGAAGGCGAGGGGACAGGGAAGGGAATGCGATGGGGGCAGAGGGGAGTGCCTGGGTCAGCCCCCTCGGGGCATTTGCCACCTGCTCCCCAGCGGAGCGTGGCCGGACCCTGCCCCGCTGCCGCACTGCCGCTCTGCAAACGCCTCTTCAGCGCCTGTGGGGGTGGTGCTGGAAACGGGAATGCGCCATTCTTTTCTTTCTCTGTCTCTTGGTTTTTTTTTAGGCTGCCCGCGATTTTGCTTCGTTCTAAGCCAAGGGCTTTCTTTCAGTGCTGGATAGATCTGAACACCCAGTAAGGAGTGTCGCGTGATCCATCCCTGGCCCGGAGCCTCACTGCACTTCGCCCAGGGGCTTCACTTCTGCTACCAAACCTTTGAGCACAAATATGTCACGTTTGAAATATTCTTCACAGACTGCCAGCGTTCTTAGGCAGTTTTTGGTGGGCTGTTGTTCTTCTTTTATTATTTTTTCCCCACTTTAAATGAATTTCTTGCGAAAAATAAACCGAGAAAACGATATGGCTTCAAGCGGTATAGAAATATGTGTGGATCAGCAGACGCCGTGCCCAGGTTGCAGACGTTGGCTGAAATTACAGTGAGACGTAGTTTCGTGTGGGCAATGTCCTAATTTGACATAATTGGGGCCTGGCTTAGCGCCTCAGCACGTGTGGGTGTCCGCTATAGGCACGTTTCTTGGGGGCCTCTGCAAAGCCTCCAGAAGCAAAGGTATGAATGGGTATCGGCCACAGAACAGCCCTCTCCTGGCAGTGGTTATAGGTCCAGGACCCCGTTATGGGGCTGCGGCAGGGCCAGCAAGGGGCTGTGGCACTGCGGAGGGGGCAGTGCTCGCACAGTGTGGTGAATTCAGGGTGAGGTTTCTCCCATTTCTGCTCTTTGGGCTAATTTTCCAGTAGCATGTTTGCTGACTGCTGTGGGAGCATACAGGAGCGCTGGCACATGGCTCGAGGTCTGAAAAGTGGATTCTCTTATTTCCGCTGAGGGGCATCAAATAATTTTAATATGGATTGTGGTCCTTGGAAAATGAACATTTTGCAAGTACAGAAATCACTGCTTCCTGGGGCTGCGGGAGCACCCGCTTCTCGCAAAACAATGCTGCAATAGTGCACAGAGTGAACGATATGGGTTGGTGGTGATTTTGTGTTTCTAGGGCTAGAAGTGAAAGGTGGGATGTGCAAAGCAAACCAGAGCAGCCGGGTCAATAACACGTGGCCTCAGAAGCAAAGTAAGGCTGTCCATTGGAGGGGAGGGAAAAAAAAAAAAAAAAAAAAAGGCAAGTTAATAGGAAAAGTACAGCCGAGAGGGGGAACGTCTAAAAGGGCGGTATGAAAATGGAGTGGGATTTGGGTGTGAGTTGTTGCAGTCAGTTAAGGCAGCCTGAAACCGAAATGATGCAGTCAACAACAACAAAATGAGGAGGTCAATCCGGCATTAAGGGCGCGCACAGCTCCAGGCCGAGATGCTGGAGGTGTGTAACGCAACCCGAGCACCCGGCGTGTACCGACTCATCTCATCGGGCCGGACTTGCCTTAGTAACGATGTTGGGTAAATTAGCCCAAATCCCTCCGATTCTCCACGCACAAAAAAAAGTTCCCGGTAGAGGAATACGCCGAAACCGACGTGACTAATCCGTGGTTTTAACCAGATTAGTTCTGATTCAGAGGCGTTGTGTTACACGGGGCAGATCCCATCCCGGCGGGGTTTGTTTGCAGGGCGTACCCGCACGTTGTGCGGGGCATGAGGAAGTGGCCGACCCGGATCCCGCAGGGTTCAGCCTTGAAATCCGCCCTGGTGCCCCCGTGCTTAGGGCAAACCCGCTGCTGAGCCCCTGTAGCACAGCGTCCATCGGGTGCGATCCGCGCTCGACCGTCCTCGCGGACATCTTCCAGTTTGGTGATACTGTGACTCCTTTTTGTGCAATGGGAACAGAGGGGGCAGATGGAGGGTAGTGATAGGGGGCTGATCTGGGTGGGTGTCACTTCGCTGCTACGCCGAGTGAGGCACAGATGGCATCTCCATCCCCTCGGGGTGGTTCTTCCCGGGAGGTGAGATTTACCTGAGGAAAACTGCTCTCGCTCTCCTGAATACGTCCATACACAAGCACATACATATACATATATATATATATGTATATATACGTACAAATCTGTGCGTTTATACATGTGATATTCACCCTCAGATTAAACCCGTACCAACTTACATAATGAATGCAGCATTTGCGTCGCCCGGAACTGTAACTGGAGTAATTCCCTCAAAGAGCAGAGTGCTGAATATTCACGGGGCACTCGAGCAGACTCGTTCTGCTGGAAGCCCTGCACTCTGTGCAAGGCTGTGAAGTGAGGAGGGCCGGGAGAAGGGCTGCAGACGGGGACAGAGCCATTCCGGCCGCATTGCGTGCCGGGGGACACAGAGCGACCCGACGGGCTGCTGTGGGGTGACACAGCGCTTGGCTCGGGAGCAGATTTTTGCAGCAGAAGCCTTTCCCATGGGCACGATATAAAGCATTCTGCAGACGATTCAGAACGGTCTACAGAAGGAAAGTCGCCTGCTTGGCGTATTGCTTTTGGGTAAAGCTCCTCTCCCTCTTCTCCCTGCCCCTGGCTCAGCACTTGGGGCCCGACGGCAGCTTCCGTGTGTGCTGGGGGGGCTCAACCAACCCCGGTACGAAAAGAGATACGGTCTCGTGCCTTCTCTAGGAGAAATAAATGCAACCCGGTGTCAGCGGGCTCTTCAGTAGCCCCTCACTTGAGCATGACAAATAATGTAGGGAGACGGCGATGAAAACGCTGCCCCTCGCTGCAGAGCTCCTTCACTTCCCCTGCTCTGTGAATCAAAACGCTGCGGTTCCAGCAGCCAAGAAAAATAGACTGAAGGGAACTTTCAGTGCTTCGGCACACAAGGAGAAGGTGAGGGGTTTGTCTGAAGGAGAGCAGTGCTGGGCTTGGAAAAATACACTCTTCAAGTCAGGAACAAGGACGGGCGGATGGCTCCTCACCGCCCTGCTGAGGGAATGGGGCTCAAGGGCTTCTCCTCCCGCTTCTGTGTGGGGAGAGGATCCATGCTGCCCCATTTAATTAAACGGAGAATTGAGTGGTTTAGGGTTATTAGAGATTTTTTATTATTTTATTGTCTTCCCCCGCCCCTTTTTTAAAATATATATCGCTGCCTCCTACCTTCAGTGTCTTACAGGAAAAAAAAAAAAAAAAAGTCTTTATATATATATATATTTATTTTATTTTATTATTATTATTTTAATCAGATACACCCCCGGCAACAAATCGGGACTTTACAAAAAGTCGATGACTCAGAGACTCAGAGGGAAATGGAGAAGGTTGGTGGAAGTCAGGCAAACGGGCAGGTGATGTGACATCAGCTCAGGAGAAGGAGGGAGAAGAGAAAACACTTGGAAAGATGAAAATCGCACATGTGCTTCTGATGACCCCATTAGATGCGAAACCCTCCAGGAAATACATATTTGAAGCAGCCAGGAAAAACAAACATGCCTTTTAGAGACCTGTCTGTCCCGCCATGAAAAATGCAGACCTCGCTGTGGTGCGTGTGTATTTAGGGGGCGGGAGGGAAGAAAGGGGATATAGGTTTTGCAAAGAAACCGTTGAAAGCCACCTTCATCGAGAATATTCATTGGCGCTGCTCCGCTCTCCAAAAATAGGCTTCGGTGTGGAAGCCGAGGCGCTCGTTACAGTCACCGTTTTCGAGGGGTCTGAACAGGGACTGTCGGTGGCTCGGCCGGGTGTCGGCATGGTCAGGGCCGGGTGGTAACAGAGAGGGGAGAAAAAAAAGAGGAAGGGGAGGAAACATGAGTCACCCCCGGCCTCGCTTTTCAGAAACACGTTTTTCCACGCAGTTGTGCCGAGACAAGCGGGGCTGTTGACCATGGCTGCTCTCCCTCGAGATCGCCCTGCCCTCAGCGACATTGCTCCAGGGGAAAAACTAACCTCCCCCCTGTCGCTTTACACGGTTGTGGAGGGGAGAGGGCTCCGCGCCGCTCGCTGCCACTCGTTGCCCCCGGTTGTCCCTTCGCCGAACGCGGCTCTCTGCCGCACCTCTGACCCCCCCCCTACGGCA